ATCCCCAGCCCTATTTTGTAATTTATTTAGAGACAGGGTCTCACTGAGTTGCTTAGCACCTTGCTTTTGCTGAGGCTGGTTTTGAACTGGTGATCCTTCTGCCTCAGGCTCCTCAACCTCTGGGATGACAGGTGTGAGCCATGGTGCCTGGCAAAGGCATCTAATTATGTCCAAGGGGTACCAGGTAGCCCTCACAGAGTTCTGCCAGGATGCCCTTCTCAAGTGCTCTGGGGTAGGCAGCACCGCATCAAGGACAGTGCCCCCCCCCCCAAGGGAGGACCTTGACTCCGGGATAGTAAGAGTTAAATTAAAGATGGACAGTTCTGATGTTTCTGAGAAGGGAAAAGTTTGTCTGATATGAGCATCTTGCCTTTCAAGGTTTTTGATTAGTTTCAGGCTTGAGATATTTAAAGCACATGCTATAGTTCTTGGACATCGTAGGTATTCAATAATTGGTGGCAATTATAAAGAGAAGGCAGCCAACTCTCAAGAACAAACAGACATGGGAATGAAGTCCAGCTTTGTCAATTATTAGTTGGCAAAATAATTTTCTGATCATGAGCGAGTTATTTGAGCATTCTAAAGGTTTTTTCATTTGTAAAAGTGATAAGTCGTCATTAGGAACAAGATTCTCTATTTGGTGTGGTTCTGGCAACTTTGTTCAGTTTATAGGTAAGTTAAATGAAGCTCATAGACATTAAGCATAGACTTTAGGAGGTGGTAATTTAGCTAGTGTCAAAAGTTAAGACACCCAGGTGTCTGATTCTGGCACCTGGTTATTTTCCAGTTTATAACACTGCTCATGTGAAAGAGAGATGACAAAAAATGCTGAATTGTTGTGTTGATTAGATTCAGTGCACAATCAGCCCTCAAAATAGTAGCTATCATTAATAATTATGATTAAGGTGGTGTAGGACAATCTATATATTCACATTAACCAGAGTTGGAATAACTTTAACATTTACAACTCATTAAGGCCCCTGGTTGGAAATTTCCTGGTTGGGATATAGTAGGTACTCAGTAATTGCTTGCTGACACATTAGAGATGTCATAATCAGGGTCTGGGGTTGTGGCTCAGTGGTAGAGCACTTGCCTAGTGCATGCTGATCCTCAGCACCACGTTAAAAAAAATCAGCAAAATAAAATAAAGGTTTAAAAAATATTGGACTAAAAAAAAAAGATGTCATAATTATGCGTGTTAAAGACCCAGTGATGTCTGAACTGACAGTTGGAATCTGTCCTTTCACATTTCCTCCACAAACATGCCTCTTTCACTTCTGAAAAGTTTGGAAACTTTGGTGAAAAGCAGTAGGACAGGGAATGATGAGAGATCGTCTTGTTGAAACATCTGCCTACTCTTCCTCCCATATATTGAGAGTTCTATTTCAGGTATGGCCAAGTATGCTTCTTTTGTACCTACCCTCTGTAAATAGACAATAATTCGAAACTCTAGACAAAATTGTAAAAAAGAACAGGTGCCTGAATATGCTGGAAATTAAATGAAAGTTGGAAGATTCTTTAGGGGCATTGATGTGGAAGAAGGGAAAGGTATGGGAAAAGTTTTCTATTTATTATGGCTCTTAGCTGCAACCAGCACCATGTTGGGCAGCTAAAGCAACTATAGGAAACTGGCAGTACCTCTGGCCTGAAAAACCAGATGACAGAGTTTTGGGCAACCACAGCTGCTAAATATAAACTCTGTCCAAATCTCTGGTTGACCTCTGCATCAAGCATGTGTGGGGTAGAATCCAAGAAGCTCAGCTAAAGATAGAAGAATTGAACTGAGATTTGAGCTGGTACCCAAGAGACAGAGTTTGCAATTTGAGTCCAACCAACTTAATTGCTTGCTATAGCAACATCAACAACAACTACTCAACACTCTTCCGCAGAATATAGCAGAATTCAGAGAAACCACAACACAACATTCACAACATCCGGAATATAATCTAAAAATATTTAAAACAGAAAGAGCCAGAAAGATGTGAACTATTTTCAAAAGAAAACACAGTCAAGACTGATACCTACTTGTTCAAATGTTGGAATAATAGAGAAGGATTTCAAAATGATTATTATATATACTCATTAACATAAGAAAAACTATGGTTAAAATAAATGGCAAAAGATAAAATCTCAGTTGAGAAATAATTTTAAAAAGGACCAAATAGAATTGGAAAAATGGAACATCTACAGTAAAAATTGACTGAGTTCATTTGGGCACAGTGACATACTCCTGTAATCCCAGCAGTTTAGGAGGCTGAGTCAGGAGGATTACAAGTTCAAAGCCAGCCTCAGCAACTTAGAGAGGCTCTAAGCAAATTATGAGACCCTGTCTCAAAAAAAAAAATTAAAACAATTTGTTTTTCTTTTTACTGAATTCCCCTAAAAGCAGAATGGGAATGAGAGAGAGAAAGATTCAGTGAACTTAAAGACAGACTCAATAAAAAGTATTTAATCCTAAGAATGGATAAAAGCAAACAAATGAATGGAACTTCAGATAATTGTCAGACAAAAATCAAAATTAATCAAAATCTAATTAGTTTAATTAGAATTCCAAAAGAAAAGCAAAAAGGGAGCAGAGAAGTTGAAGAAATAATAAGCAAAAGTATACTAAAAATATGAAAAAAATGAAACATATAATTATGAAAATAAAAAATAATGACCAAGTAAAAGTTAGTCTTTGTGGATATCCCAAATTTGATGAAAGACATAAATTTATACATTCTTAGCAAACCCAAGCAGGTGGAGGGAAAAATCTATGAGAAAAGATACATAATATATAGGGACACAGTGATTCAGTGGAGACCAGAAAATAATGGAAAGGCATCTTCAAAGTTTTGAAAGAACAAAAAGATCTATACACCTAGAATTTATATCCAGTACAACCATTATTCAAGAATGAACTAGCACAGAGGCACGTCTAGATAGAATAAAGCTATCTGAGCTCATCAGGCCACACTCCAATAAATGATAAAGGAAGCTCTTTAGACTCAAAGGAAATGACACCAGATAGAATAGTGGATCTTCCAAAAGGAACAAAGAGGATCAAAAAGGGTAAAGTTTGGGTTAAATATAAAATATTATCTTTTTATTTCTCACTTTCTGTCAAGCGTAAGTGACAGTTAAACCATAGATTTTAGCATTGTCTCCTAGGGTTGATAGCCTGTCGATGTGTACAAATGATAGCTTCAGCCTAAGTCATGGGGAGAGGCGGTACATGAACTCACACAGTTGCCATGTTTTTACACTTTTTATAAAAAGGTACAATATTAATTCTGAGCAGACTGTGAAAGGTTAAGCATATATAATGACTAGAAATAATAGTGAACTTACACGGAAGCTCAGTATGACAATTGTGATCACAAATTGGGTTTATCAACTGAATCTATGGAACTTTGCAAAAAGAAAATAATGCTGTTATAGAAAGAAGCTAGTAGATAAATAGACTTATGTTTCATTCTTCTTCTCTGCTTTCAAATCATCTTGATTACTTGTGCTTGGTGGGAAAATGGGCAATGCGTTCATTTGCATCCATCCGATAGGTAATTATTGCAGTCATTAGATTTTCAGGTGCTCTATCAGCCTTTGAGGATATAAATGAAATAGGGCATTGTCCTTGCCTTCAAGGAGCTTTGTTCTCCCATGAACTGATGGAGACTCTCCTGACCTCTACACTGACGGAATCCTCAATCTTGTCACTTTTGAGCCATTTAGGGGAGAGAAAAACACCCATCTTCCTCGATTCAGGTAATAGATATCAGGTGCTTCAATCAGACTTTGAGCATGGAGAGTATGGTGGTTTCTGATGGCATATCCCACTGTGATATAAAGAGCTCTCCAGGGGTGGGAGGGTCGGAGGGCTGAGGATTATGTCCTTGTTTTAGCTTTTTTCACTACTGTGACTAAATGACCAAGCCAACACAACTGTGGAGGAGAAAAGGTTGATTTGAAGGCTCACAGTTTCAAAGATCTTAATCCATAGAAGGCTGGCTCCGTTTCCTGGGGTTCAAGGTGAGGCTGAACATCATAGCAGGAGAGTGGGGCAGAGGAAAGCAGCTCACATGGTGATCAGGAAGCAGAGAGAGATTTCACTCTCCAGATACAAAATATACACCCCATAGTCACACCCCAATGGACTATTCTTTCAGCCACCCCCCACCAGCTTCCAGCCACCACTCAGTTAATCCTGTCGGGGTTTAACGCACTGATTGGCTTAAGAGTATGATCCAACCACTTCTCCTCCAAACCTTCTTGGATTGTCTTCCATGGGAGCTTCTGGGGGCACCATATCTAAACCATAACAGCCCTCGACTTGGAGATGACTAGGTTCTCCTCCTGCCGGCTGCTCACTGAACTATGTGATTTTAAGCAATCCATTTAACCCCCCTGAGACTCAGTTTCATCATTTGCAAAACTGTTCTTAAAGGAGGCAAATATAGCTCTGTGTGCTAAGTGTCAGGGGTCAGTTTTGATTTAGGGGTCCATTAAAAGCAGGTGTTCTAAAACTAATTCTCCAAGTTGAGTACTGGGGAAAATGATGATATTTACTCTAACGTCTATGTTCTTGACTAGATTTTTTTTTTTTGTGTGTGTGTGTGGGGGGGTGGGTTCAATTGGTGTAGTGGAATTACCATAAACTTTGGTGTCAGGCATTCTGGGTTTAAATTCTAGCTCAGTATTTACTAGTTATATGACCTTGGACATTATATCTCCATTTTCTCATTTGTAAAATGGGGTATAATCGTGGTTAGACTGTAGGATAGAGGGAACCAGCTGTCCACCAATGTTTAACTTCTCTTCTACGGCATAGAGACATTTCTGTGAGCTGCCCAGCTAGTGCCAAGGATTTGTGTCTGGGAGTGCATCTGTAATTAGTTCTTAGCCATCCCCTGTGAACACAAGTGACACAGCCCAGTAGCCCAATTCCAGGCATGGCCCAGGGAGTTAGGGGAAAAATAAAAAAGCTCTTTCATGTACACACTTCTATGTTCTTTCCTCTTCAGATAATGCAACTTTGGAAGCCACACAACGGAGCTACAAGATGGAAGGAGGCTGGGCCTTCAATCACTCTTTGGAGAAGAGCTACCCCACTCTTTAGGTGTGCCATGGAGAATTAGTGTAAGTGGCAAACTTCTATTGTGTTTGTGCTATCATACATTTGGGGGTTTACTTTTATAGCATTAATTAATTTAGAGAGCACGCGTTATGTACAGCATCTGGCATGTGTTGTCTGTCATGTGGCAAGGTTCGATAAATAAAACCACTCTTCTGCCCGAGAACAGCATTTTTTTTATCAGATTGGATGAAGAGTCAATATCACACTTGCTAATGCTGTATTTCTGTCATCGTGCGTGTGAACCTCAATTCCCCAATAAATCAAGCAGAGGTAGCAATACAACTTCCTTACTAGAATTGTTGAGAAATAAGTAAATATTAAGCAGAAGGTGGAAGCACATGTTTAAGAAAGAGTATTTCAGAAATACCAGATGATGCCAGGCAGGACAGGGAAGACCGAAGTAAACTGGAAACAGCCTTTCTGGAAAGCAACAAAAGTAGTCGGACTGTTGTCAGACAAGGAGGCCAGAAGCGATTTTCCCTTAGAAGGATGTGTTAGTCAGCTTTTCACTGATGAGACCAAAATACCCAACAAAAACAACTTAGAGGAGGAAAAGTGTATTTTGTCTCATGGTTTCAGAGGTTTGGTCGGTGGTGGGCCAGCTCGATTGCTCTAGGCCAAAGGTGAGGCAGAACATGATGGTGGAAGGGTGTGGAAGGGGAGCACTACTCTACCTGTGGCAGCCAGGAAGTAGAGAAAGGAGGAGGAGTCCGGGAGACAAGGAAGATGTAATCCCTGCGGGCATGCCCCCTGGTGACCCACCTCCTTCAGCCACATTCCACCTGCCTCCAGTTACCACCCAGTTAGTCTTTTCAAATTATTAATCTATCAAGTGGGTTAATCCACTGATTAGGTGACAGCTCTCATAACATATTCATTTCACCTCCTGCATTTACAGAGGAGATTTTTTAGGGGATACCTGATATCCAAACCATAGCAAAGTTCTTTTGTGAAGTGTTCTCACAGCTATGCATGAGAAATGTACATTCAGTCATTCCACAAAGATGGGCCTTTGTCCATGAAGTCTCAGGGCAGGCTTAGGACCAGAGGTCATGGGACTGCATGGCACAGTCCAAATGTCCAAACGTAGCATTTTATTAGATACCAGGGCTCGGGGCAGTGAGGAATAGCACTTCCCCTGCGTGATGGGAAGATGTAGCATCTCTGTATTCACTGCTACACCCACCACCCCACCCACCCTACCTCTGGTGCCTCTGATACCTCTGGTATTTTGCTTTTTGCCTGCCATTGACACATATCCTCCCCACTTGTCTCGTGAGGCTACACCCACACAGACCCTAGAGTGGGTTCTGTGATCTGCGGACCCGGAGAGTTCTGAGAGCTAGTTAGGGTGGCAGTGATTCTCATCCATGGGGAGTGTCCCATTCCTGTCCCAGCACCCAAGAAGCTCGGAGACAGGCATCTGAGAACTGGAATCCAACTGGGGCCAATGACAGTAAAGCAATATTTCAGGCCAGGCCTAGGAACAGGGTTTGAGGTGGAACAGGGTCTGATGGGGCACCGAGAGGTGGAGTACCTTCTACTTGAGAAGACAGAGGGTGCTAGACATGAGAGACAGGAAGAGGAAGGAAGAGTCAGTGTTGAGGTTGAGGATGGGAAGAATCTGCCTATGGTAAAGGACTGGGGATGAGGAGTGGGGGCCGGCAATGTTTGGATAATGTGAATAGGGCCGGGTTCTGGAAGATTCTGAATGCAGGAGGAGAAGGCCTGTGTCAGACAAGACTCCACAGAGACTCACCCCACGCTGGTCAGCCCATGCTGCCAGGCCCTTCCTGGGATGGCTGGTGCAGGCCATCTGCTCGACACATCTTTCACTTCAGCTCAGCTCAGCACATCTCCTTGTTCCTTCCTCACTCTTCCTAGCTTAAGCCATTTCTCCAGACAGACAGGCATCTGGGGATTAGGTCACCTCTCTGCTGCTGCTTCCCCACAGAACAAGGCCTCTCCCACTGCGAGTCCTCCAGACAGAGCCTGCCACTCCCTCTGCATCTCTCCAGCCGATTGGACCATCCCGTCACACACTCAAGACTTCCTCTTCCAGTGGCTGTGTTCAGTTTTGACCAGGAGAATTCAGAGCTACCTAGTCCATACCTCCTTGTTCTAGCTCCCTTCTGCTTGACCACCTTGCTTTTGTTATCCAAAGTCAGTCTCTCTCTTTCTCTCTCTCTCTCTCTCTCTCTCTCTCTCTCTCTCTTTACAAATGGCTTTGCAGCAGACCTGGGAGTGCACAGCAGCACCAATAATGTCTCCATGGTTCCTTGTTAGCTGCACTCTAAGCAGGAAAGTGACTAGGCCTGACAATATAATTTACATTGCTGTATAAAACTATCTGTGGAAGCCAAGCTAATTTGTGCCAGATTAGGCTATTTGTCTCAGCCACTGTCTAGCAGCACAATCTATCAGAGGGCTGTTTTCAAATATCGCTTTTCAAGCGTGCCCTTGAGAGGCAGAAATTGATTGGGATCTTAGAGAGCAAAATTACAGCAATAACTTAAAAGAAACAATAATTACTGAATCATACCAGTGTCAGCACTCTGCAAAACACGAAATAGCCATCAAACCCCAATCCAATATATTCTGAAGCGAATTTATTGAATGGAAAAAGCAGTTGAGTGAGGGTTTTTCTCCCCCCTCCTCCCCTTCCCCTGTACATATGGTTATCTCAAAACCGCAAGTGAATGAGTCGATAATTCTTGTCATTGACTGCTCCATTTTCACGGAGTCAGAGGAGATCCATTAGCTGCCTCCTGCTGCACCGTCTCCCTCTCTCCTCTCTCCTTCTCTCCATCGCCTCTATTCATTTGCTAGTCTCTGCTCTTCAAGCAAACAAACATGTATAACTAATCATCTGTTAAAATGCAGAGGGCCCCTAATAAATCTCTGCAGCTGAAATACTTTAATGGGTAATTAATTGATCCTGTTCCAGAGGAGTAATAAGATAATAAATTAGACAATATTTCACTCAGTCGTGTCAGGCTCCTAGCTAATGGCGCTGTAGGGCTAAGCTGAAGGATAATAAATTAGCCAGAAATTAACTGCTAAGAGCTTTCTGCAGAGAAATCGGCTGACAAGTGAGTCACACGCGTGATTCAGGGCCTGACTGGTGTGGCGGCTGATCTCTGTGAATATGAACTTGCTCTTTGGGAGGGGGCCCCATGGGGCGCTCCCAGCTGGGCTCCGATAGGATTCTGTTCCCAGGCTGAGAGAGTCTGTTGGGTAATACCCAGAGCTTGTGAAACTGGCTAGGGCCCTGGCCTGGCACACCAAACGGGTTCCTGGGAGCCGTGAGCTCAGGCACCTGGTGTGCTCTTGAAAATAGCTTCCCCCAAGCCATCAGATTCACTGAATTTTTATGGGTCTCACCCACTCTGACCAGTAGGGCTACTGAACACCTGTCGCCGCCACGTTCCATCTGTTGCTTCCCAAGCAAATGTGCAAATCAGGAAGGATGGAGTCTTGGTAAGAGGTGGAAAAGAGACTCGTGCCCTTGCAAAAAGGCTCTTGCAAAAGTTAAGCAGAAAAGTGAGCAGGAAGAAAGAGAGTGAAATATATTTGTAGCAGGTAAGAGATATTTCTTACTAGTTCAGATGGAGAAAATCTCTTAGTTTTGTGGAGAAACTCAAGGAAGGTGATAGCAAGTATGAGGCAAGAAAAGACTTGGCCCTGGAAGGTCACGTGGGCCTTTGCTTGAGGGTAGAGGCAGCTGGAGGGTAGCTGAGCATGTGGTAAGCACTGGGGGATTAAAGAGATTTGACTTCTCCTTACTCTTTCCTGGCTGTGTGACCTTGTGAAGGTTACCTACCTACCCTGAACTCTGGTTTGATCCTCAGTAAAAGAGTGTTGAATGAATGAAAGACACAAGAGAGGCTTGGAGTGTTGTGTCTCACCCAGAGCAGGTGCCCATCGAACATTACTTATTATATGGAATGCAGGGGGTAAGGTTATTTACAAGTGAGGGAGACAGCAGATAAAGAAATGAGAAGGGGTGGTGGTAGGAGACAGTGGGTGAGCTTGATCCTCTTTTTCTGGAATAAGGACCAGATTACTTGTACCCCACCATAAAGATGGTCCTAACTGGGATGCGCTCACCTTCTTCCAGATCATCCCTCATTGCCTCATGGTAAATATGAGTCAATCAGTCTTCCACGTCACTAGCAGCAATGGCAGTGTGGGTTGAAGGCATCCAGAGAACTGGATTATTTAAATGGGATAATGCAGAATCAAAGAGATTTAGAGACCAGAAAGGAGAAGAAAAACTCTAGACTGATTCCCAGGTTTGTGGCTTGGGTGGCTGGTTGTAATCCACTCCACTCAGCATCACCCAGAGTGGAACACTTGCCTTTTGGCCACAGGGGCCATTGAAATTGTTTGTACTGGTCCTTGAAACCTGTCACTCACTCTTATAACCACCACCGCCTGAGGATCCTGCTGCTTTGGCTTCACCGACTCTTCCTGTTCCTGAGTACAACAAAACGGTGCACACCTCCCTTGTGCCACCTGCTTCCTGACCTTGGAGTTGTCTTGCTGCTGCCGGAGCAGGTAGCAAGCACTTTGACACCAGCTTGGCACTCATGTATGTGCATCCCTGGGATCTAAGGGGATTGATGTCCTGGGAGAGGCATACTCTGACCAGTGGGTGGTGGCCACCAACAGATAAATTGTTCTCCTTTCTCCCTACTGGATGAACTACTTGAAGATGGGGTGGCTTCTAATGACCTTTTGCAGATATCCTATGACACAAAGGGATGCATTTCTCACAGGCCTGTGGCTGGCTCCGTCATCTGCTCGCTTCTACTTGCCCTCTCCACCTGTGTACCTCACCCCCTTCCCTATTCCTGCTTCCTGGAGACTCACTCTCTAGTAAACACTAGCACGACATACATATATACACACACACACATACACACTTACATAAATACTTTAAATGTGTAGTCAGTACCAATCATCAACGTCAGCTTATCAGCAGTGTGGTGTTGGCATT